TCAGTTAGAAACTTGTCAAACTAACGCCACGATTTGTTGTTGGTAGGTTGAACACATTTTTCGCATCGTAGGATATAATAATCATTCTTTTATCAAGCAATTACGTCTGGATTAATCTCAACTTTGTTTTTGTGAGATTTTCATGTTCTGTTTTTTTATATGAGTTCGGTGAAGGATCTTTCATAGATGTCACATCTATCTTTTTTAGTTTATGAACTTCAATTTTGAAATCGAAATTTCACTCGAAGACCAAGAAAAGGAAATTAGTCAGTTTATAGGGCAATAAAAATTGTTTTGCCGATAAAAAGTTTATAGATGACAAAGTCCACAAGATCCACTAGGATTTTTTTTTTTTTTTTTTTGACAATAACAAGCTGTCACGTTGTATTATTCCAAGATATCGTGGCAATTGTTCCGTGTTTTATTTTGTATGATTCATTAAAATGTTTTTAAGCAGTTTCTATGTTTCATTTTTATGAAACATTGAATTGCTTTTAAGCGGTTTCTTAACATTGAAACAGTAAAATGCGGCACTTTACAAACTGTTTTGAGGTCAGCATTTATAACACAACTTCCATAAAGCGGTAAGTTGAATGGAACTAATAAAATTGATGAAATGGGTTTGATGGAATGGAAAATTGTAAATATTTTAATTGCTGATATCGTAGTAATATATTTATGTTTTTATTATCTCACTATGTGATATCTGCTTTAACTGTTACTTATTGATAATTAAGTTAAATATCGTATGTAGTGGGAGTTGCAAAAACTTAAATAAGCATTTTTTTTTTTTTAAACTAAATATGCAATAAACTGCCACAATATTACTTATGTGATGTTATTTATAAATTTTTTATATTTGTTATAAATAAAGTTTAGTATAGAGTAGTAGATTTTTTACATTTAAAATTTTATATAAATCTATGTATACTATTTGCTCATATCGCTAAGCACTGCGCTACGTCTGCTAAATGGTATCTTGTAATAGAATGTAATAGAATCTGCTAAATGAATGTAATAGAATTTGCTTAATGATATCTTGTAATAGAAAACATCTTTTTATGTATCTCAATCTGAGGAGTTTCAAATATTATACAGTCATTAGGGTTGTACTGAAATGGAAATTTTATGATCCGGCCGGAATTCCGGCTAGAACAAGAATTTTATTTTATTATTTTTTACCTTTAAAGTGAAAACCTGCACCTCAACATCGTGGCTATAAAATATATATTTATATCCTAAAACATATATATATATAACCTAATTTAT